GTGTAAATATCGCTCTCCTTGCTGATTTGCTTGTGTGCTTCCTTTTCGAACCCTCCCTCCACCCCTTCTTCTGTGTCTGGGTGCCCTGGGATGGACTAGCATCCCATCCAGGGTGTATCCTGCCTTGCACCTCTTGCTTTCTGGGATAGACTCCAGCTCCCTCACACCCCTCTACTGGATATGGTTGTTAAAAATGAAAAAGATGGACCTTATTCTCTTTTTATCTTCTTTGAAACAACTCTTATGCTCCTGAACAAAATAATTCAGAATTTGTCCAAAAGATGAAATATCTATGGCTTGGAATTTGAAAACTGAAAAACGTTCATTAGAAATGTGTTCTGAAGCAGAAACGTGGCAGAGTTTGAGGTCTCTGGGGATCAGGACTGATTATTACAGGACCTGCCCGTGTCTCATTTTGGTCGCAGACAGCTTGTGAATTAAAGGAGATGACTGTGCGCTACTGTCACAAAAATCTGTTCTTCCTCCAAAAGAGGCGAAGTGCAGCCCTGTTTCAGACAGACACAGGTGACCTCGTCGATCCCTGCGTGTGTGTGTCTGCGATGGACTGGGTCCTGGCTGCACCCTGCCTTGCGCCCATGGCTTGCTGGGATAGGCTCCAGTGACCCTGTGCTTGAAGAAGCAATTAGAAAATGGAGCACAGCAGTGTGAAAAAGAAAGAAGAGACAACACAGCTACTCCTGTCTCAGTCCATTTCTCCTTTGTCCATTTACTCTCGCCCTTTCTCCCCTCCCTGCTACTACTGTTTGCTCATTTCGCTAAATTCCTGAGTGTCCATCTCCAGTTCACCTGGATTCTCACTGTTTCTTCACCCCTCTCCCCTCTCCCCATCTCTCTCTCTCTCTGGCGAGGAGAGGAATGTTAGCCTGTGTTAGTCTTATTGATTGAAGCGTTCCTCTCCTCTGCCTCTCTGAATTGTCTCTTCTCCGCACGCGGGAGACCTGAGGGAGAGAGCGAGATGAATAAATGATGAAAACAAAAGAGCGGAACCCCCACATGGATCGATGAGCGAGAGGGAGAGAGGGAGGAGGAGGCTGGGGGGCTGTCTCGTTTACCTGGCAGAGAGGGGAAGTGATTTACGAGAGTGAGGGAGAGAGAGCGGAGGGTGAATGGCCAAAACAGGAGCCAAATTAGCAACTTAGCACATTTTCCGCTACATGGGCTTTGCAACAGATGCATGTTTTCTGACACACATGAAGACAAGCCAGTGACAAACCACGGGAGGCTAGTCAGTCCCTCCAGCCCGTTTGGTAGTTTATTCGTTAATTGATCACAGGATCGCACCCAGCTCTTTCTGGAAAAATGTCTGGCTCATTGACCTGGCTCACTTGTTCCATGCTCCCGCAACTCGGTGTGTAAAGAAAACCCGTAGGTTTTCACGCAGTTTCCACACAATTTTCACTGCCACTGGAAGGTATCAACTGGGGAGGATTGGCGCCAGATTCAAGCATTCCAAATCCTTAAAAGCGTCGGCGGAAACTCTTCCGAATTTCAGGGAAGCACAAGCGACAGGACGCCAGTGGAAATGATGGGAGAAGTGTTTTTACGGCTGAGTACACACTGTTGTACAGTTTACACGGAGAGTTGTTGGTGTGTGGAGCGCACTGGCCCGCCGGAGGAGATCTTTGGATCATGAGCACCAATGGGCCCGATGGCCCTCTCTATCTCTCGTACCCTTTCGTATGGTGATGCCTCTGTCTCATCACTAGCTCGCTCATGTGCCTTCCAGACCCCGATCGGCTGACCTCCAGACCGCCATCTCCAAGAACCGAGCGTTCGCAAGTTTGAAGGGACGCCGTCCTCTTGTGTTTTGCGCCCTAACGCAAACTGTGTCTTCTTCGTCCCCCCCGACAGTCCCCGCCATGATCACCTCTCACCCCAACACCACCATCGCCATCAAGGGCCAGCAGAAGGAGCTGGAGTGCATGGCGAGGGGCGAGCGGCCCATCATCATCCGCTGGGAGAAGGGCGACACCGTCATCGACACCGACCGCAACACCCGCTACTCCATCACCACCAAGGACAACGCTGAAGAGGTCGTCTCCACACTGAAGGTCAGCTGTGTCTGTAGGGTACAGTGCAGGGTGTCTCTGTCTGGATTGTACAGTACAGTGTGTCTCTGTCTGTATTGTACAGTACATTGTGTCTCTTGGTCTGGATTGTATTGTACTGTGTCTGGAGTGTACAGTATAGTATAGTGTGTCACTGTCTGTATTGTATTGTATAGTATAGCGTGTCTCTGTGTCTGTATTGTACAGTGTCAGTATATATTGTACAGTACAGTGTGTCACTGTATTGTATAGTATAGCGTGTCTCTGTGTCTGTATTGTACAGTGTCAGTGTCTATATTGTACAGTACAGTGTGTCTCTGTCTGTATTGTATTGTATAGTAAAGCATGTCTCTGTGTCTGTATTGTACAGTGTCAGTGTCTATATTGTACAGTACAGCGT